ACATTAATTTACTATACAAAAACGCATATTTTTTTCCTCATTTTAGTTTATTTATTTGTTTTTTTTAACTTTTCTATTGAGCCAGTTTAATTCTTTTATAATTAACATAACTTAACTGTTATACATGCTTCATAGATATAACTTAGCTTTTTCCGGTTGATTTGAAATATAAAAGTCAGGTTTAAATCATTTGTCTACGCATATATTATCTAATATTTACAAATGTCCTTAACACTAATCAATTAAATCACTACAAAAATATATTAAATTAACAAATTTTAATTATATGGAAAAATTAAATAGTTAATAAATTTGTCTTTGTTTAAGAAACTTTGTTTAWACCTTAGTTCTAGATAGATTTTTCGAGTTTCATCTTCATCAACCAGATCTTCAAATTCCATTAGTTTCAAATACAGTTTTTTTTAATGAAGTATTAAGTCACATCGCTTATGGCCATCATACAATAAATTGTGAAGTACTTTATTATACTGTATCTATGCTTGGCTTTTAGAAATGAAAACAATACTTTTAATTCGGGAATTTCAACAKAGGCACATGTTCATCAATGCATTAAAGAATATGAAAATAGTATAGTTCTCAATCACAACAGAAGTACTGAAGTATATTTTTTGACTTACGGAAAATGTTTTATGTTGTAAATAGTAACACGGCGTCCTGGATATGCAATTTAATAGCACGAACGGCATGTGTACATTCRGTTAAATTGCAGGGCTTCAAAACGATTTTATAACGTAATTTGAAAACAATAGCCAATAGGTAACAAGTGGTTTTTTTAAATTTTCGAGACCAATGCATTCTTAAAGATTRTTTTTACTGTTGTATCTTGGATAACTATTAACGTAAAAAATACTCAACATTTTCAAATTCAGATTCACATTTAAGATTCATTTGCTTTATAACAGATATTAAATATATATATATATATATATAATAGCATTAAACTGCATTCAATTTTAAAAGTATTTAGGTGGTTGAGAGGCTGTATTACAATAAGATTTTATTTGTAGAATAAATGAATTTGTGGGCACTGTTTAAGTTAAAACATGTTCCCCCATTTTTTATGTAACTACCATGTTCAATTTTTTTTCATTTTATAGGTCATAACTACATGATGCATATTTAATAGGGTTTTAGGGTGTATATATATTTACCCTAATGATAACACAATAACAACATATATTGTAATTTGAGATGTAAATATAATTATAATGGAGATGATTTAATGTATTAAAATTTAAAAAATTATAATAATATATTAAAATAGTGAACTATAATATGCATATATTGTATACAATATGATACACGATTTCAGATTAAGTATAATTCATATAATAAAAAAATTGATCTTTGAAACAGCTAATATTTTGATATCATAGTATAAATAGTAATTTGTCATCTAAATCAAAATATAAGTTACCATAATATGATAATTATATCATTATTTTTGCATTTCAAACTTAAATATCTATTCTGTATATATAATTTATAGATAAATGTTTTTCAGCATAATCTGAAAAGAAAAAAAATTGAAAATATTAATAAATTGTGAAACCTACACGCAACCGAGTTAGGCGTTAGAGGTGTGCCTAAACCAAAAGGTTTAGCATCCGGAGGCAATTGTGTTTCAA